ATATATATATATGTATATATATATATATACATATATATATATGTATATATATATATATATACATATATATATATGTATATATATATATATACACATATGTATATATAAACAATGATTGAAGACACAATTGGCTAGTGAGAGATGATGGAATGAGTTAAAAAAAAATACACACTGATGTTGTAACCACAATGTATGAATAGAAAGGACAAAGATAATATCACATACCACATGCTTTGTTTAGGGCTTAGAAAATTTTCTTTTTCCTCAAGAGCAGATCAATACTTGCTATAAAGGGTATGTTCTAACAGTGTAAATCAGCATAGCCTTTGATGTGGAAATCTAGTTGAAGATAATGATTAAAGAGAAGATCAATAATGATTAATGCACTTTATTTGTGTTTCTTTTTCTCCATCATACCAATAATGTCTCTGTGAATTTCTTAATGCAAAAGTTTAATTAAATAATCTAGTGATAAGCAACATCAAACATCAGGGTATAAGGAAGAAAAGGCTTTAGTATGTGCAAAACAGATATATATATATACATATATATATATATACATATATATATACATACATGTATACATGTATATATGTACATGTATATATATATATATATACACACACGATCCTATCAAATTCATGATGCTAAACTAAATAGAAATGACAACATATTTTTTTCAAAAGAACCTTCATCTCCACTACTTCTACAGATAAGAAACCACCCTTTTTTTCTACTTTTGGATCAGATGTTGGTCAAATATCGGTCATATTTCAGAAAGTTTGACCTATGGATAGCATAGTTGCCAACAAAAAACACTTAAAAAGGACAATGCTATTGTTGAATGTTGGTGCTACTGATGGAACACTTCAACATTCGGTAGATTTCAGCAATCAGTAAAAATGCTCCAATATCAAACTTTTTCTAACAAAACAGGATGAAAAGAAAAACAAGCAAACGTGATTTCCACATCAAGCTCCACAAGCTAAAGTGCAAGATGGTACTAGTCTACTGGTTCTAGCTAGTTTCAACATAGTACACCAGAAAACTAGTTAAGAAGGATCTTGTCAATCAGAACATACAAAACCTCTTCCCAAGAAGCACCACATATCCAGTTTCTGTGAGTTAATGCTACATCTGAGGTTTAAGAAATCCAGTCGAGAAGGATCAATATAGATATGAGATTTTACCTAGAATGAGATTCCTGCGACAAATCATTTCAAACAATTCTTTCTGAGAAGCATTTTAAGCCCTTCAAATTAACAGAAAAAAACGAAACCATGAACAAGATCAAGATCAAGATTTCTAGCAAGAAAGTGGATGGAATCGATACAAACAATTGAGTTGCTCATATTACTTGTATCACAAACCCCACCTACGTTCTTGGAAGTTATCAATGCAACTCAGGTCACCGTCACATAACACAAACGTCATTAATGATCGCCAGCGCTTGACAAATTAATTTCATGGCAAGAAAATAACTAGTGGAAAGGAACGAAAAGATATGAGATCTCACGATTTCTGACAAGAAAATGGACGAAAGGTAAATACGAACAATTAATTTGCTCGTATTTTTGTCGATAAACCCCACCAAGGTTCTTGAAATTAATAAATACGAAACATAACATAAACATCAACGGTGATCACCGGCTCTCGTCAATTAGAACCATTGCAAGGGAATGGCGGAAAAAAGGGAAACCGGGAACAAGATCAAGATTTCTTGAAAGAAAGTGAATAAAAGATCAGTGCGGCCAAAAAATAGTGACATCGATCCATTAAATGCCATTAACGATCACCAGTTCCCAATGATTAATATCATCGCGAAGGAAACAACTCGTGGAATCAACATAAAGATTTCTAACAAGAAAATAGATAAAAGATCAATTGAATATCATCAATCCATCCAACGTCATTAGTGATCACCAGCTCTCACCAATTAACATCGTTGGGAAGGAACATCTCATGAAGCAAAATGAGAGATCAAGATTCGGATCAAGAAACGAAAATTTCCGTGCAACCGATCAAGCAGACGCACCAAAGTATACGAAACAGTTTGGGGATCGAGGGGGAGCTTACCGAGAAAGATGACCGTGGCGTGCATCGCTGCAGGAGGAATCCAAAGAAACGGGCCGTCATTTGTTCGATCTTAGCAAGAGAATGTAGCCTCAACGGCAGCCCCACCCCACGTAGTATACGAAACAGTTTGGGGATCGAGGGGGGGCTTAGCGAGAAAGAGGACCGTGGCGTGCATCGCTGCAGGAGGAATCCAAAGGAAACGGGCCGTCGCTTGTTCTTGGTGGACGGCGACTCTTTCTTGGCGTCGATCGCTGCAGGGAGGAATCCAAACGAAACGGGCCGCCGCTTTGTCTCTTGGCGGACGGCGATCTCCCGCTCTGTCTCGATCGATCGTTTACTTTACGGTCGTTATTATGGGCTCTCCCCCACTAAAATTTTCCTTAAAATATGTGACAATTACAATTTAGTCTTATTTATTGCCTCCCAAAATTTTAATTAATATTGTAATTATAATTTGATTCAAGGAGGTCGGTTTATGATTCACTGGTGCAAGCCATTGATGGATTTCAAGTCCCTTCTTAGATCTCGGGCTTCCCATCCCAGCTTCAAATCTTCTTTTCATCGGAAAGACATCAGATCTCGGGTCTTTCCACCATGATGAGCTTCAAATATTCTCTCAGACGTGGTAGATTTCAAATCCCTTATTCGTCGTAGCGGATCTCATGTCTTCCCGTCTTGGTGGGCTTCAATTCTTATCTCTGTCATCGTGGATTTCAAGTCTCCTCTCTAGTGTAGCGAGCTTTAAATCTTTTCTCTGTAATGACGGACTTCAAATCCCCTCTTTGTCGTAGTAGATCTCAGATCCTCTAACCATGATAGGCTTCAAATCTTCTCTCCGTCGTGACGGATTTCAAGTCATTTCTTCATTGAAGCAGATCTCGGATCTTCTTATCATGGTAGATTTCAAGTCCCTTCTCTGTCTAATAGATCTTGGGTCTTCCCATCGTAGTGAGCTTCAAATCTTCTCTTTGTCGTGACAGATTTCAAGTTTTTTCTCTATCATGGCAAATCTCAAATCTTCATGTTATGGCAGTTTTTAGATCTTCCCGTCATTATGAGCTTCAAATCCTCCATTGTGGCAAATTTCAGGTCTTCCCGCTGTGACAAGCTTAAGTCCTCCCTCCATGTGAATGATGTCGATTCTCATCAACACACAATGATGCTCTTCGCCAGAGACATTGTGATGGATCTCATCGTCGATGATGGTCTTGGTTGTGGACTGAAGGTCGAGCTAGTCGATGAGTGCTTACACTTGGCTCTTCTTCTTTGAGGTGGATAATGATCGTAGTAATAGAAACTCCACAAAGAACATTAAAGTCTCTTCCATGGTGAGTATGGGATACAGGAGGTTGTCCTGTATGACATATGTAAAGATCACCTTGAAGAGCTATCCCTTGAACTTCTTGTCGTTAAGGGTGATGGAACCCTACAAGTTCTCCCACACAATGTAGTTCGCGAGGGCATCAATTGGGGTGGACTTGCTGGAGCCACTCTCCCCAGCATCGTAAAGATCTTCCCTTCCCTTGCCTAGTTAGAGATAGAATTCAGCAACGTCATAGTCCTATAGATCACCTCTAGTGGCGGAGTTGATGGTGAGGCCATTCTTACATAAGAGTAATAACTTTTGGTGCTTCTTTCATGCTGTACAAGAGAGCAGTGAAAACGAGGATGAAAGTGATGGGGTGAGAGGCCAAGTGAACGCCGACACCACTTTCAGGGATGAAGTCATCGAGCTTAAGATTGTAGTGCTCCAAGTAGGCATAGCCTTCTCTCTAGGCAACACCGTCATTGTATGCATCGTTAACACACTTGAAGAGCTGGTTGAGGGTGATAGACTTATCACTGCCATTGCCTCCGAAGTCCTAGTTAGTGTTAGCTTAAGGGCTATGGGATGAAGTGCTAGTCAAGGGTAATGGACTTGTTGTCGCTATCACTTCTAGAGTCTTGGTTGGCATTAGCTCAACAGCTTTGGTATGAAGAGCTGGCCAAGGGTGATGGATTTACCATTGCTGCCACCTCCGAAGTCCTGGTTGGCATTAGCTCAAGAGTTATGGTGGCTAAGTAGGTCATCACGATTGATGTCCTCAGCCTCTACCATTGAGGAGGATCATCGATCAAACAAGGATATCTTATCCATAAGCCATGGTATGATATCACTTCGCTATCCTTTTTTATCTTGTTGGGATCTCCTATTGGAAACCGATGCCAATGGGCACCGATGGCACTAAGAGTGAAATAACAACTTGTTTCATACCCATTAGCATATGAGCGTTCATTGAGAGAGTCGAGAGCAGAGCCTCTTCACTCGAGTGTTCGTTGAGAGGGTTAGTAGACAAAAGTTTCTGTGACATCAGGGTCTCCTTCTAATGCCCAAATGTTAGGGGAAAATATCGTTGACGTCTCGATCAGTCTGACATAATTCAGACCTGTATGTGCAGGATTGTTCAATATGTCTTCGAGGTGGAAACATTGTGTTCTTGAGGTATTACCTGCATGATGATAAAGGTCGGGAGAGGTTTTTTGATATGATCCCTCCGACACTCAAGTTAGAAATATGATGTCCTCTATTATGAGTGGTTCAAGTAGTTCAAAAGTAATCTCTTATATTGGGTTTAAAATATCTTTTTATAACTTAAAGGATGAGAAAAGAGTTTATGATTATGAGAAAGAAGATTGTTATTATCTTATTTATGATAATGAATGAAAAGGAAGCTTTTGATTATTTTCTTATCATAATTGATGAGAAAAAAATTATCTTTCCCTACTTTAAATCTCATTTATATAAAGTTGGGTGGAGGGTGACTGATATGAGAATCTCGTATAAACTAATATAGTAGATTCTCAATCAACCTTAAATCTTTTGTGTGATTTCGAAACATCGCCGACAATATCCTATCATATCTTTTTCTTTTTTTTTCGATAAATTCAGAATAATAGGGCTAAATAATATCCAAAGTCAAGAAATTTTAGTGAATTATTATATATATATATATGTTTTGATAATTAATGAAAAATAAATAAATTTGCCAATGTTTATAATGAAAATGTGAAAAGAAAAACTTACATTTCCCACTCGTTTCTCCTTATAGTTGCAGCCTCGTTCACCAGCCGCCCGCGCAGCACGTGAGGACACGTGCCGAACTGTTTTTTTTTTTTTTTTTTTTTGATAATATTAAATTAATGAGAACGCCCGTTTTATGTGTGTGAGAGCGGAGGCGACGAGGCTAAATTGCAGTCTCTCCGTCCCTCCCTCCTCCCACCAAAGAAGAAGAAGAAGAAGAAGAAGAAGAAGAAGAAGAAGAATAGCTCGGATCTTTGGCCATGGAGAACGGCTCTTCTTCGTTATCGTCCGTGCCGAGCAATCCCCTGCTCAAGGACGAGCTTGACATCGTGATCCCGACGATCCGGAACCTGGATTTCCTGGAGATGTGGCGCCCCTTCTTCCAGCCTTACCACCTCATTATCGTCCAGGACGGCGATCCCAGCAAGATCATCAGGGTGCCCGACGGCTTCGACTACGAGCTCTACAACCGCAACGACATCAACCGCATCCTCGGCTCCAAGGCCTCCTGCATCTCCTTCAAGGACTCTGCCTGCCGCTGCTTCGGATACATGATCTCCAAGAAGAAGTACATCTTCACCATCGACGATGACTGCTTCGTAAGTCTCCTATTTCCCTCTCGTTCGCTTCACCATTTATTCTCCGTAGTTCGGTCTTGGGATAAAGCGAGGATTTTGGGTTTTGAATTTGTCTGGATTGCGAGCGTACTGCTCGGCACGATGATTTTCTCAATCGATCCCTTTCTTTTCTGTCAACCTTTTCCGAATCTGTTCTTGATCTGTCGAAATTGGTCCCCCATTTTGTTAAGTCTGATTAAAGTCCTTATTTTTTTGGGATATTATCTTTTACACAAACCATTTTTTGCCGTGGCATTATTTAGATTTCTTGTATTTGAGAGTGGCATAATAAGATGTGCATTTCTTATATTCTAATTTTTCAGTCAAACGTAAGATTGGTCGCCGTCAGCTCACTGAGCTTCGAGTTTTAGTATTTTGCAAAATTGCTGCGATGATTTTTGGTGAATGGTTGCGATTTATATATAATTTGTTCTTGTTAGCGGATTCTTCTAACTCCTAATTAAATCTTAACAAGGAGCATTAAACCATTTTTCTGTCGTATATCCTGATATCAGTCCAGTAGATCCACAACATTTAAGTGTATCCATATCTTAGTGTTCTTGCAGACTTTGACTTATTTTTATTTTCTATTTTCTAACAGATATTCTTTCTTCAACTTTCTTTTGCGGTAGGGAGTATCGACTTTCCAGAATTTATGATATATTTTTGTGCCTTCATGTCAACCTCACACTAGTGTGGAGTGCTTATGTGGGAACAATTATGCTGGGTCTGGCAATGACTCTGTATGCTGATAGTGCAGTGACATAGTTAGAGCCATTGTTGTTGAAGTATTCTCTCGCAGATTACAGATTTCTCATATATAAAATTCTCCTTTTTTTAAAACAATGAGCATCTAAATTCAGGCTTTTATTTCTTTGTGTGTTGAATCAATCAAGTGGAATGATGATGCATGAACAACACTACTTTTGTCCTTCAGATGAAACAATCATCTTATTTCTTGGTTGTGCCTGCCAGATTGGTGAGAATGATGTTGTGTATGGCTTCCGATCACTATTGAGATTGTTGTAAATATTGGTGTTCTTATCATATGATGGTTAATGAGATTTCCAGCTCTCTTATTATTAGTCAGTCCTACTTTCTGTCTTATCACATCCTTCAATTATTTACATCAACATACTTGAATTATCCCATGTGGTTTTTGAATAGGTAGCGAAAGATCCATCTGGCAAGGAGATTAATGCACTTGAGCAGCATATAAAGAATCTTCTTTCCCCATCTACCCCCTTCTTTTTTAATACTCTTTACGACCCTTACCATGAAGGAGCAGATTTTGTCCGTGGCTATCCTTTCAGCCTCCGCGAAGGTGTGCCAACTGCTGTGTCTCATGGCCTCTGGCTCAACATTCCAGACTATGATGCTCCAACTCAGCTTGTCAAACCTCTTGAGAGAAACACAAGGTAGTTGATCTAAGTTGGGTCATTAACAAATTACTAGTTAAATGCTGTCATTGTTTATCGTACAAGTCATTTCATCTGTATATCAGGTATGTTGATGCGGTTCTCACGGTGCCAAAGGGAACATTATTTCCCATGTGTGGGATGAATCTGGCATTCAACCGTGAGGTTATTGGCCCTGCAATGTACTTTGGACTTATGGGTGATGGGCAGCCTATTGGCCGTTAT